AAATCCCGTTTCAAAAATGATCTCACTAGAATTTTGTAATCCCCTAATCAATCATAACAATCATGTATAAATAGAGATACTGTACGAGGGTTGTTCGAAAAGTTCGTGGACTGATGTGATAAAATTAATACTATGTAGTCTATGCTTACAGAATTTTTATTGAACATAAAACAACAAAAGTTAAAGAAATGTTGAAAATTTTAGCTTGATACATTGAATATTTACCAAATTATCATAAAATAAAAAAGACATTATATGATCACCCGGCGCTGTCGCCATTTAGTTTCATGACATTGTTTTTCAATGTCCGCATTTACTACCTCATACACTAATCTTGATGAGTTTTCTTGGAGTTAAGTAAAGATTTAAACCCGTCTTGTTTATATGATTTTACAATGTCATAAACAGCTGATTTCAATGCATATGATATTGTAAATAGATCTGAAAGATGCTCACTTGATTATAACAGCATATTTGTTTGTCGGGGTTCAACATCTATCACACATGATCAACTCCACTTTTCGACGTGACAAACTTTGAACACCTTACTACAAATCGACTTTAACTTTTACATCTCTCGTCTCTCTAATTTTTTTCGGCGTTTAAAAACAAGTACTCTGAATGCATTTTATTTTCCAGTAGCCCATTTAAATATTTCCTAGGTCTATGCCAGTTTTTCCAGGGGGTGAAACTTTATAGAATGTTGGCAAAAGAAACCCATCCCCCTTTCTGACGTCATTACAACCCCATAATTGTTTGGACATTTCATATAAATTTTACAGTAAAATTTGATAGAACTTACAGAATGGGGTAAAAATTACAAATTTTATGGTACAATTGTGTCATACCACATGAGTGAATTAACGGGATTTTTGAATGACAAATGCTCATATCAAAAAAAAGAGTTTTTTCTAAGTTACAACTAGGTAGAAAAAAACGTGATCTTCGAGGTTGCGCCGCCTGGACATACCATTGCTTTCAAAAACATCAACAATTTCTTTAAAAATAAAACTAATGATCTATAGTTTATTATATAAATAAAAAAGATTATGCTAATTGAACTTTAAAAAATTCATTGATGTATCTTAAGCGGTTTTAATTTTATGGCGCTAGTCCACGAACTTTCCGAACAACCCTCGTATGTATTCAGGTCATTTTTTTCTGACCTTTTATGATTTATTGTTAGGAAGATCTGGCCCCAGTATCATGAAACAGACTTAGACTTAAGTCAAACTTTCAGTTGCCTGTAAAACATTTATTATTTATTGAATTAATCTCTAATTTTGCAGATAACAGCAAGTTTGTACAGCAATATTGTAAAATAGTTTAATTTTGGCCTGCTTGACTTCTACAACATTTTAAGACAAGATAAAGATTTTGACTTAAGCTTAAGATGTTTCATGATCCCGGGGCCTGGTCCCCAGCAAAACTAGAAGAGAGAGTTTATATCGTGTTTGATATTAATATCATCTTAGTATAATCATGAAAAATCTGTACATTTTCATCAAAGTTAAATAACCATATGATTTGAAAAATTAGGGGGGAAAACAGATAGGATGGTAAAAAATTAATATCAAATGACTTATCTTCAAGGATAATCTAATAGCCTTGAAGTTTTTGTTCGATAATTAACGTACCTTTGAAGGAAAAATACCAATGTCATATTCATAAAAGGGCTTTAGTCAATACTCCGGTATATTGTCGCAATTGACTTTTCTTTGTTGTGTAGGAGACACATGAAGGCATGAAAACATCGACGGAATATGTAATTAAAAGCATGAAAACTTCTATAAGTCATCATATGCTGCAAGATATTTAATATTTTTCATTGTCTCCTGTAGAAGATTCCTCAGATCAGATCACTACGATCTTGGAGATAATTTCCCTATGGACAATTACTGTAATTGTTGATCAAGAAAAGACGTTTTTTACTTTCAAATATTCAATAAGTCTAGAATCCATATAACAGATAGCATTCAAGAAAACTGTATTGTGCATGATCACAAAACTTGGTGAGGCAGTTGATTTCAGGAAACATTATACAGATATAATAGCACTCATGTGCGTAATACATGCATCAGTTGATTAAATTTACAACAAAGAACCCCTGTAGCGTTATGTCACCAATTACATCACTAAAGTTGGTTTTATCTATAGATCTTTTGATTTAAGCAAATTTTAGAAATTTATGATAAATTAAAGGAAAACCACGAATTGCTTCATCATAAATGCAGTGTTTGCATCCTTTGGCTAGGAATAAATGATCAAAATTTATAGCGCATCCGAACTTAGAAAAGTATGAAGGTGGCAATGAAGCAGTTGCGTAATCTTTTTTTAACACTATATATCGCTCTATAAACTCAATATTTTCCTTTTTGTTATGTATTGTAAGGTCACGTTTTAATAATGATAGATATAATGCTTTGTTTTAGAGGCGTATGTACATGTTCATAAAGAAAACGTGCCTCGGGGGTAAATAAAAAAAGCTAAATGACTGAAGTTTAAAAGCATTTTTTGTATTTGAAATAAAAGAAAATTAACACCAAAGAAAAAATTCTGATAAATTCGTCAGAACGCGAGTATAACATTGCTACCGATTAACGAAAGGGCAATTGCTTTGAATTTTGTGGCATCCTATGCAGATAAAAGAGTGCATATCCAGTGACTCATATAAATTGAAACTTTTTTGCGAACAATAATTTTTCTCACAAGATTGCCTTTGTCATTTAAGTTATACAATACGAAAAATTCCCTAGATGCAATAGGTATGTACATGTAGGATGTACGCAAGGATAATTAAACTTTGCGTTGAATATTTAACTCTGAAACAATTATTTACATAATTCACGTGCATTACATGAAGGAAATAAAAATCCATTTTTGTTATTTTCATTATTTTCTAAATTGTAGAATTCTTCGTTAGAGCATGTCCTTCAAAGAATGAACATGTATACTCTAACTTAAAAATGCCTGTTGATTGATTGAATCTTGTTTTACATCCCGTTCGAGAATGATAGAGAGACATCACCATATACCGGTGAAGGGCTTCAAATTTAGACCTTTACTCGGCACTTAGGGTCATTGAGCAGCGAGGGTTCTTTATCGTTCCAACGCCTACTGTGACACGGGGTCTCGGTTTTTAAGGTCTCATCCGAAAGACCCGCAACTTTCACTCCAAAATGCCGAGCGCTTGGCGAAGGAACAGTTGTTACCTTTTTTAGATCGACTAAGGTCAGTCGCGACCGTGATTCGAACACCCGACCTTCCGATCACGGAGCGAGCGCTCTACCGACTAAGCTATCGTGACGGTGAATTCCTGTTGATTAGGCTAAGACAGTAGATATTATGGAAAAGTCCATTTGTCACATTAATGTACCTGATCCCTCGAAGCTACATTGACGGATTTCCTAGGTCTGTTTCAACTTTCATTGCTTTACTAATTGTATCTTTCCTGTAATATGTTTAACACTGATTTTATTTTAATATCTTATTTAGAAAATGCATATAAAATTATAAAGAATTGGATATCTATATTCCAAATTCATATTTTCTTTCAAGAGCCAATTTATTATTTTTCCATATAATGATATTCAGATAACCGCATCTATGAGGTATATTGGTAGTGACAAACGCAGGGCAATAAAAGGGATAACAGGATGAATCTGTTTATCATTTCTCAAGATGATAAAAGTTTAGAATTTAATTTGTTTATGAAAGACAGGATATCATTCAATATAGATATCAGGTTTATAACATTGAAAAGAAATAGCGAAACTGAAATCTGATAAAATGATCATTTAACGAGCCAAACCGGACATGTCTTCATGGACAAATCTACTGATCTGGCTCAATTTATAAAACGTCCTACCGGCAATACCATTAAAGCAAATAGACATAAAATTGTTATTACCGATTGATATATATTCAATTCGGTCACATTACATCAATCCCTTCAAGAATTTTCCGATGCAATATTTACTCTGTACAGAATTCATGAAAGATTTGAGGACAAAAATATACTTGTATATTACATGTACCAAAATATGATTGATTTCGCTTTGAAAACATGAACTATTATTTTGTACTTTAAAAAATTCCGGTTTTCATTTCATTTCACTTTTTTAAATTACCATTTCCATGCACTTGCACAAGAAATTGCATAAACTTTTGACAGAGTAATAAAATATTGGTTTGGCTGTGTATTATTATTACGGCATTGAAATAAAAATAAAGAAAGTAGAATTACATCTTGCTTGATTGAAAATGTGTCGCATAGTACTAGTATTTTCTCAATGTTGCTACAAAATTCTTAAATGAACTTCAAAATGAACAGGATAATCTGTATGCCAGAAATTTCATGGAATAATTGCTACAACTATTTAGAGATTTCTTTAAAATATCAAAATGATATCAATACCCCCTCCCCCAAATGATTATATTACTTATAAAATAATGATAATAAAATAAAAGAAATAATTTTAGAGTAAAAACACGCAAACAAATAAAAAATGTTGAACTTTGACAAAAAGGATGTGAACACACATTGTGTTATGCCTTTCTGCAGGATCAAAAGCTACTTCTTTTTTTACAATTTAATTACCTAAACAATTCATTATAAGGACTATTTTTTTCTAAATGCTTTAAGTATAAAAAATTATCTAAAAGCGAGTGGGTTGCAGCTTCTACACATGCAGCTGCTGTTTCTTTCGAAAGTATTCTCGACTTTTAAAGTATTGATATTCTACGGTCAAAATAACACTCTGTGAGATTCATCTGCACCAACCTCGCTTCATTAGTATCTTAACACTGTCCACACATCTTCCGATTGGAAGATTAAGAAATGCGTTATCACCTCCTGGCAAAACCTATTTGTCGAGGTCTAAGCAAACTCTAGTCAGAGTGAAATCTTTTCTCGATCAGCAACTAGCTAATTGGTACTCCCTCGTAGCGTAAACAAATTTATCGACGATATATCGATTTCATCAATTCAATTTTATTGGCTAAGTACATTGATTTAAAGGTATATGTAGAAAATATCGCGAAGCACATCTGTGCTTTGCTCTCAAGCAGGGCGCTTCTTGTACCTCAGTCGGTGGAAGTCTGCACTGTAATTCCTCGATGACTTGTAAAACAGTATTTTGTGCAATGGTCAATATGTATTGCAGAATTTAGGAAGGAACTGTTGCATTTTTAAATCAAATTATTTCAGGTAAGTAAACATTTTTATAAACTTCAAGATTATTTTGTATGTTTAATTTAATTAACTAAATTAATTAATTAGCTACATGTTTACAATCCGATAGGTTTCAAAAGTCCCTATATCAACCTGTACCACTTTGCATGCTTAATACGTAGCTATAGCCTTTATAACCAAGTGAAAAGTTATAATTAGAAAAAGTGAATTAAGTCACCAGATGTTCTGTAAGGTGATAACAGACAACTCTTAACTTGAAGATATGTTATCTATAAATAGATCAAGTGATATTAAGAAATTACTTTGACTATTATGATAAAGTGACGAACACCTTTAAAGTTATCGTAACAACTGTCAAGCAGCAGTGTTGGGTTTCCTTGGAAAAAAGAAAAATGTAAGGCATTTTTATGAAAAAAAGGATAAGAAGACTATTAAATATCCTAGCTTTTATATCGTAAGCTGCTCTGAAAAATATGTGGGAGGCAACGGTAGAAAGATTTTTTATAATATGTTACTTGCAGTTTAATTTCTTTTTTTCCCTGGTCTTTTCAATTGCTGCAATTGAAATGACAATAAAAAATATTAAGAGATAAATCAAAGCTAACCTTTAAATCTTCGTCATCCTCTGCTGTTTTAGAAAAAATTCGGTTGCTATTCTGCAAATGCCATTTAAAAGTTATAAATCTCAATCAGTAAATTCATATTTGCATCGTTTGAAACGAAAATGAGACAATACTACCGTTATAATAGAGGCGCACTATCACCATAAATATAGAAAGACATTTTAGCTTAAAACACTCATCACTCTTTAATTACCACACAATGTATGTTCTCGGTCGATGTTTTAATTCTAAAACCTTATGTTAATCTTGTAGTTTCTCTTTGCTGACATAAGTGCCTTTTATACCTCTAATGTTACCTATGTATGAAGACCTATCTCTGCTATCCAATGGTCTTTATCCGCTCCCTCTTCCTAGGAACTTTTGCGCAGTGAAGCTGGACTGAACAGTATAAATTGCAATGAGGACCTAGATGTTCTTTAATGCCACGACTACATCAGCGACAATTTATTCAAAGTCATGTTTCATTAATCCATACTACGTTTTGATTTCTTTTGACGCAAATTTAATTGGCAAGGCTTATATTTTTGTAATTGCCATTCAATCAGATGACGATATTCAATGCAATGAAAAGATAATTTGACATGAAAAAATAATTTGACCTCAGCAATCTTAAATTATTTTTGTTCAATCTTGCTTAATAGAAGAACTTCATATTTCGACTGCCTTTAATTGATATTTCTTTGCATACATTTTAAGCCAATGAATTCATGGATGTACAAATTTAATCACACTTAAAATGAATTTGAAGGTTTACGCCATTAGTGTGATAAAGAACAATTTTTTAAGGGCACTCTATCCTGTGCTGCCTTAAAGTTTTTTTCAAAAATAAGATTTCAAAAGAAAAGTCTTATTTTATTGTGTTTAATTAATGAAGAACAATATAACCTTTTGAAATGTATTTGAAATTTATTTCAAAGGATTGTACATGTGAACCAGGTCAGGCCACGGGCTCGAATCAAGATGGAGATGTATTTAAAATACAAGTTATCTATTTTCTTTGCTTCCCCATAAAATTGGCTGATTAACACTATGATAAAATTAAACAGTACGCCCTCGACAAGATTTATAAAGATAATGTCAATTGACTTCGATAACAGGACTGAGGCAAATTTCTGGCTAAATGTGTTTGCCCGTTGGTGACAATTTCTACGTTGTCCGTACACCTTTTGAATACGGCCCCACTGAACTGTTGAGACCACAATTTGGATTCAGAGTTTTGTCTTAAAATATGTCGAATTTATTCTTTATAAATAATCTTATCTGCATGCAGAACCACATTGAACGTCAATTGATATGAACGTGTCCTTATTCAGTGTAACTTCAAGTTTTATTAAATTTTAGGGGGGGGGGGGGTTCCACTGAAAATTCAAGCCGAACCATTTAAAAGGTCAGGGAATTCCATGTCTGAAGAATTGGCTACAATATAATCAGTTGAAAGTCAGTATTTTAAAAATTTCTCTCTCATCTTGATGTCAAGCTGAAAGTTATATGTAGTACACAGAACGTATATGCTAGAATATTAGTTTACATACTGTGAAATGACCTATTTTCATATGGAGGTATAATTTTTGCTGCTTTATGGTATTTTAATGGAAACTTCATATCTAATGTGAAAGGGGAAATTTAAGTTAATTATCATATTGTAATTTTTTAATTTACCTGGTGGTAGTAAAATTATAAAATTGCAAAAATGAATTATATATATATATATATATTTAATTCACAACCACTTAGTAAATTAAAAAAAAATACAATATGATAAAATAAATAAGATGCATTTTGGTAACACCAACATCACGCCTGCTCATCACCAGTGGAGCATCGCATCGTATTCTTAACTACGACCACATTGTTAAATATATGCAAAATTAAGGATAATTTCATCATATATATATATATATAGTTCAACTTCGTTATCTTGAACTCGATGGAACCGAAAAAAAAACATCGAGATATCCGCTGGTTCGAGATATTGAAGGTAAATTACTTAAAGAAAAGGGCTTGGGACTTTCCAATCACTTCGACATATCCATTGTATTCAAGATATCAGTGTTCCAGATACCGAAGTATATTGGATCAAATATTCTACATCAACCTTGTTTACAAATAACCTTTCTTGTATCCTTGGGCATTTACTAGGCAAATAGTTTGATAGGGTAACAATTATTAATTTAAGATAAATAAATAAAATTTGAAATATAAGATCAGAGTAACCTTAAATTGAAATTAAATACTTCTATTGTACTTCCGACCCAAACCAACTTCTAAAACTATTAAGTTTAGGCATCAGTTAGATATGCATAATAAAATATATGACTGCATACAAACTGAATGCAATAACAATGATCAAGTCTAAATCTTTTTATTCTCTATAGTAATAATTACAGTACGTATAAATCTTAATGTAATAAAAATAATGCTCATCAAATTGTTTCAGAACACTCAGATGGCTTGCATAATTTCTTTCACTTTATGCAAAAACTTTCACAAAGTACAGAAGCAAATGAAAACAAGTTAATTATGTAAATTGCTTTATTTTAAAAGAAAATGATGGAAAAATGAGAAATCATATTTTGCTTCCCCTATAGCTAGTCTTTGAAATTCAGCGAAAAATATAAACATTTGTTTTATTACTTAATGCCACCAAAATGACATTTAATATGGCTTTTATTCTGAAAAAGTTTTATGAAATACAGAATAACTGTCAAATAAATCATTTTCAGAATATGATTCTGTGCATTAATGCAAATATGGATTCATTTTCCTTAAGTTTCTATTAGATATTCAGGGAAAAAAATTCAAGGTTCATAATATAAAATCAAAATAGGATATTATTGAGCTGCTGTCCTTGAGTTATTGACAAAAAAGTACAAATCACCACAAAATGAATAGCAACATGTCCCCAACAAACATACATTTGTCAAAATATTGATAAGGTTTATTTGGCTATTGGAAGGTCCTTTCATACCAAAATTGTTTTTATCTGAAATGCATCACTTTACCTTTAGAGTTGAATCAGTCTAATTAATTATGAATCGGATTCATATTTAATGAAAATCCTCCATCTGGAACTCTGTTTCAGGTAACTGATAAAACTGGACTGTCTGCCCTTATTTTGTGCAAATTTTTAACTGTTGAACTTACAGATAATAAATGATGACAAATTTACTGAAGCCTCTTAAAAGATGTCATATCTATTGATTTGAGACTGGAATCATGGAGTCGCTTACTTTGAAATATTTATTCAAGTATCATTCTTATTAAATACGTTCTTACTCCGATCGAAATTCTGACCATCTGAACACAAACATGCATTTCCTTTTTTATTTTTAAAGACAACAGGAGCGCTCGCTCCATGATCGGAAGGTCGGGTGTTCGAATCACAGCCACGACTGACCTAAGTCGATAAAATATAGGTAGCAACTGTTCCTTCGCGAAGCGCTCGGCACTTTGAAAAGAAAGTTGCCTTTCGGATGAGACCTTAAAAACCGAGGCCCCGTGTCACGGTAGGCGTTGGCACGATAAAGAACCATCACTGTTCAATGGCCGTGAGTGCCGAGTAAAGATCTAAATTTGAAGCCCTTCACCGGTATATGGCGACGTCTCTGCATGAGTGTAAAATTCTCGAATGGAACGTAAAACAACATTCAATCAGTCAAAAGACAACAGGAGAAATCAAACATGTATTAGTTGTATCCAATGGTTGACACTGAAATGGTTTTAGACATCGAAGCTTCAGTAAATTTTTCTTCTCATCTGCTTCTTTAACTTTCTTCTAATTGCATTTACATGCAATTTTGTATGTTTCTAAATACGTAGAGTAGCTTGTGCTAAATGAACTCTGCTGAAGTGGAAAGAACTAATACACATTATGTGATGCATTATACATGTATAATGTGATATGCATGTACTCGAGAAAATTGCAATACTAAGTATTATAGGTTTTGTGCATTCATTAATTCGAACCTGAAACGCCCACAAGGTGCACTATCTTACTTTTCTTTAATTCTATTACAATTATCATAATACATATTATAACATCAATAAAATTTGCAATATTTACTTAGCGTTTTCTAAGGGACAAATACAGTAAGAATTTAGGTCACCTTGGATGTCATTATCACTTCAATGAATCCTTTATGCTGCTCCAATATCCCTCCCTGCTAACTACTAATTTTCTCTGTTTTCCTTAAGCACTCTCTAAAAGATTATTCCTAAACCGAGACGACGGCTGACACGACTTGTGTCATCACTCACTGCAGAGTTTCTAGACTTTTTCCGGGAAAATGTGTGATCCAGTCTCGTGGAAAAAAACTGAGCTCTTCCAGTGATAAAGAAGCAATAGCTGATAAAGTGTTGTGATAAACATAATCCTAAATGTTTTTCTACACT